CTTATATTTGTATTTTGATTATTCCATTGAGTCTTTAATTTTGATTTAATTGATTTGCATATGTATTTTGTGTGCGCAGGATTCCAAATGAATTCCGAGGGTTCTTTCGATGTTATATCGATTGTGTTTCTGGTGCTGCAATCTTCGCTCAAGTGGAACTTGGTTCGCTTAAGCGATGGTTGCTTAAGAAGTACCTCGTCGCAAAAGTGAGACTGGCCTTTTGTACGGGGTTCATTTTAACGATGACCACTTAAGTGAAATCTGGTTAGCGAAAGCGAGAATTGCAACTTTTTTGGGTTTCTCTTAAACGGAACCTGGTTCACTTAAGTGACATCTAAGGGTTTTTTGACTTGCAAATTATGGGGTTTGAACCCCATTTCACCATTTTGAGTTTTGAAAGCTTTGGGGTGGCGATTTGGATCAGTTCTTGGTAAAAATTTGAGCCTCCCCCCCTCCCCCCCCCCCCTCCAAAAAAAAAATGGGGCCTAAGATATATGACTTATTTTTTACACAAAAGAGCCACCCCTGCACCCATGGTTAGTAAAACACACTTAGTGTTGACTAGACAAAATATTTGTCACAAAGTGTTTGCCCATAAAATCTCCATCTAGTATATATTACAACTTCATTATTAAATTAATTACTTTTTGTCATAACCCAAAATTAGACGTGATGACACTTGTCTTATGTCACTAAGACAAGTCAACCTAAAACTCAACTATTACAATAAAATGCAAAAAAATTTACTAGCAACTTAAATTATACCTCCAAAACCTGGTTGTCACGCGTATAAGCCTCTATTGTATTACAATTGATTCAAAGAAATTACAAGTCTCAAATGACCTTATATCTAGAATACAACAAGATCATTAACAGGAGTAAGAAGGTCAATTGAGACGACAAACAACTACCCCACAAATCTCCAAGAAGCCTCGGATTAGAAGCGAATGACAAGTACCATAAAAATCCAGGCTCATAACCTACAAAAATTTGTAGAAGCAAGGGGTGAGTACCAAATCACACGGTACTCAGCAAGTAAATCCCTATACACAAGCTAAGGGGAAGAAAAATGGGTACTCCTACCATCCCAACCGAATCTCCACAATTATAACCTGCATAAAAATCAGTTCAACTTAACATCTTACATTTTACATAGCACGTAGCTTAACAACAACACTTAGACAAATTACATATCATCAACAACAATACTTTGACAAATCACATATCCAAAATAACAACACTTTCACAAATTACTTGTCCTTAGAAACAACACTTCATATCCTCAATAACAAGATCAGTATTCATCAATCACAAGTTCCGTAAAAAGGCAATCACAAGATAAATAAGATACAAAATTAAGTTCAGTAATGATAAGTATGTGTAATGCAATGTCAAGTATAATGATGCATGTCTGAACTAGTGATAAACACCCGCTGTAACTCAGTCCGGGACCCATGGGAGGACATATCTGTCCATGCATCTGTCGAGGCGTACGACACGAACCTCGATAATAATAACCATCGCGGAGCGCGATACGTCCCTCGAAATATAATATTCATCGTGGCACGTGATATGTCCCTCACAATGGTACATCCTCTTTAAGTTGTGATTTTTTGTAAATGTACATAATACTTTTAACAACCAGTCTGATAATAATACAAATGACATGTTCACACAAATAATGAGGAGATGACTATTTTTATGACATTGCACAATTCAACACAACACAGATATCATATCACCACAACAATGATTCAACAAGCTTTCAAATCTTTCTCAACATATCACACATAAACAATTAATCATGTTGCCTTTTGTTACCCCCTTTTTCATCATTAGAATTAATCGATGTAGACAGTCAACCCATCACCAAATCTGATTACTCCCAAACATATACCACAAGAAAATACACGCATTTCATACACTTTAACAAGAGTTTAGAAATCTACTTGCCTCAATTAGTCAAACAATGACTCCAGAATTTGAGTCTTCCTCTTTTGGTTGACTTATAAACCAATACAGTCTATTCAAATAGATGATCACAATGAGATTTCAAAATTTACAACACCTCACTCTATAATCAAGCTCTTAATATTGATGCCAATTAATATTCAAACTTCATATTTCTCAAATTCAAGCTTAGTGTTAAGTCATAATTTCTTCAAATACTAATAATCCTAATAGCTTTCATGTAATATAATACTCCTGATATTTAATCACGCATCTTAGTATATCAAATTTAGATCTTAATATGATAATTCAATAGATAAAAATCAACCTACTAATTTACGATACTAATAAAGTGCACTACAAACACGATCCAGTTGAAGTCTATACTATATCATATTTAGTTTCAAATAAAATAATTTATAGGTCAATGCCAAGTATCCAATAAGGGACATGAATATAATGTTCCTCCACTCCTTAAGCTGATACAGTAACAATACAGAAACTTCCAATTTCAAGATGAATTATTGTAGTTTGTTTCACTTTATTATCTATAAACAATAATATAATATTAATAATAACAAACCAATAATTCCACTTTCCAATGCTTCTCTTTTCTTCTTTCTGTTCCACTATACATAATTATATAATAAAATATACAAGAATTGATGATTGCTTATCCATAAATTATCACCTGCACTCACAGATCAATTCTTCTAGTGATGGAAATAGCCGTCATCCGTTTCCTCTTTTTCTTTTAATTAAAATAATTATGTAATAAAAGTGACAAATTCTAGTAATTTATTTTTTATATTAAATATAGATCAAATAGTATAAGGTATTAAATAAATTATTTTTTAATTCATTAACTATTAATTAAGTTAATTATTTATAATTATTCATCAATTAATTAACTCAATTTAAACAAAAAATTAAAATTTTCAAAAATAATCTTCTGAGTCATTACATTTATATATCCTTAACTCTCTCCTCTCAACTCTCAAGTTAGAGATATCGAGATCATGCCTAAGATAGTGAATATCACAGTTGGAGCGAATCAATTTATACAAAAGTATTTTTGACTTTTAACGTTAAGTTTTAACTTAATATTGATTTATTTAGATTTGTTACACGGGAATTACCTTTCAAATGGAATGCCTCATGGAAAAAATTTTAAGCAAAAAAGAGAGTATACAGGCATCATCAGAAATTTGTTGAGATACATTTCACTAATTACAATTGAGTGATAGTTCAAGTACGAAACTCATACTCTTAATAATTCAAGTGTAAAACTCAAAAAGTTGATTAATTTATATATGACATTTTTACCCTTAGGTGTCATTTCGTAGGAAACAGTGGTTCATGTATTATGTATCATATTAGTTAGGATAGAGTGTTTGCTAGAATTTTGGGTTTATATATAATTAATCTACGTATTATTTATACATTATATATGGTATTATTAGATGTATAATCAATTACTACCTATCATTTGGCGGTATTAGTAAATTCATACTTTTATTGTCCCATTTTATATGGCTTACTCTCCTTTTTAATATTTTTCTAAAAATGACACATTTTTATATTTAATAACAAATTAATTTTAAAATATCTAGTTTATCTTTGGTGAAATGATTTTTAGCCACACGAATATCTATGAATCATTTTAGACCACAATTTTTTTTTAAAAAAAGATCTTTCTTGAACTTCCTATCAAGAACTAACTCATATAAACGAGGACGGAGGGAGTAGGATTTAATACTATGGGATTAATCTATGTAAAGATAAAAATATCCCTCAAATAATTTTAATAATTTTGTTTATTATCTGTATTTATGTTTTATATTTATAGTAGTAAATTTATTTAAATAAATTAGCTTATAAATTTTATTATTTAGAGGGAGTTATTTGTTGCTAAATAAATTCAAAATACAAATCAATACAATATTTGAAATGTGAATTATTTAATATTTACTAATTGAAAAGGGCAAATATATGACCACATGACGTTTATGATCTTAATTGAACTTATTATTTGTTGATATATAATATGTGGTTTTCTAATTTTTATACTTTAAACGATTTATAAAATTGCATTCATATTAAAACTACAACTTGCAATTTGTATATGTAAACATGGATGATTTATTCGATTTTATTGTTGTTTACGTTCTTTTCGATTTATTAAGATGACAATTATTTACTCTCAAATTAATCAAGTGAAAAAATAACAAACATGACGTTAAAATTGATCTTCTCCTAAAGTTAGAAGGCCAAAATATATATATATATATATATATATATATATATATATTGTTTGGTCGTTATCTACTTGACCCAATTACATAAAATAGAAAATCGCATGACAATTTAAAGGTATAATTGAAGAAAGATTTTGTAAAGTTTTAATCCAAACACAAAATTAGATAAGAAGCAATGAACCAAACACTAATAGAAAATAAATCATGCATTGCTAATTAATGTATTACTAATTCCTACGTTATTAAAATTTATATCAAACGTAACCAACCCTTAATTCAATCGATATCACCTACTGTAATTTAGACCGATTTAAAGACCTAATTCAATGCAACGTGTTGGGTTGTTGATGAGAATCAATGGATCACAAATTAAAAAAATACTCTTCACAAACAATATACAACCAATCAGCTTATAATTGAAAAGATAACACATTATAACTTAATTTATATTACAGTACTTTCTTGCAAACTTCCATAATATTTCTGAGTCAACATAATATAAAACCCTTCATCAAGTTGAGATGGAAGGCAGAAAGGAAACTTCAATTTGAATATATGTTTGATCAGAAGAATGATTAGTTGTTGTGGATTAGATAATGGCTAGTCATTAAGTTTAATTTAACACAGTTATAAGATTACAATATTATCTATATTTCTTGGTTTCAATTTACAGGACACAAACTTTAAAAATAAATAAAAAATAAAGACTTTTGAAATTTGTGATCTAAAACGCTCTTTAGCCATTGTGTGGCTATAAGTCATTTAAGTAAGTAAAATTTTAAAGTTAAGTTATTTCTAATTATAGAAATGTGATATATTTTCTCAGAAACGGATTAAAAAATAATGTCACATAAATTAAGACAGCGAAAGTAATAGAGAAATCGAATGCATCCATGTGTAGGCTTTGAGCAACCATTATCATTTTGGATTGCCAATCCTCAGATCAAGCCCAAGGTCCATTCCATTGTAGGCAATGGGAGCATACATCCATAGATCATCAGAGCTCAACAGCTGCATGCACAAAACATACCACATTAACATCCAACTCTTCATTTCAAAGTATCAAATAGAGTACATTTTTATTAGTTAATTATATTTTAAACACGCTTTGTATGTGCAAGTCATATATATATATTTTTTCATGGGACAAGCACATGAAATTCCTTCCCAAAACCTTTGCCTCACTATAACAAAAATAATTTTTAACGATAATAAAATATTAACATTAGTAAAGAGTTCTAAAATGTGTGACTATCTCTTTGGTAACAGAAGAAAAAAAGTAAATGACCTTCTATAACATGTTAAAATATGCAAATAAAATAATATAGTATATAGTAGCTATTTTATTCATTGGTTTCCTCCCACCCCCTCAACAATGTTTTTATTAATACCACTCCTGTCCACACAATATGATGATATTTTTCAACCTACACTGTTCAACTCTTTTAAAATGTTGTTTAGTTTGTGTCAGATCCTCTAGAAGTAGTGTATTTTTGGAAGATTGATAATAGAAACATTTTTGGAGAGTCTGAGCTCATAGATTGTTCTCTCCGCATGAATATGATTGTGTATGTATATCGTCTTCGTGTTGTAAAATCCTTAATGCATTGCAATACTTTGTGAAGGGAAGATAATAAAGCTTACCTTGATTTGGAGTTGCAAAAACTTAACATACTGAACTGCCTCTTCAAGCATGGTACTAATATCAACCTGTCATAAAATATTTTTCCATTTTAGGTTCACATTCTCTCAGCAGACGATTGATCAATGACTAATGCAGTTACACTGACTTAACTAATTACCTTGGTTCCATTAGGTATGAGACTCTGTAAGGTCTTCAATCTCTCATTAATTCGCTCTCTTCTTTTCTGTTAGAGAAAGAAGAAAATCCTTTACATATATAGTAGCAGATGAAGAAAATGTAATAGGCATGCAGTTAGTTATATATATACCCTGGCATACATGCTCTGGGGGTCAGTTGCTGAACCCCTGCTTGCTCTGGATTTCCGTCTCAACTCGAGAGAAACATTAGATTCATCTTCTGAACAGCAACTGACCATAGAGTTTTGCCTCTGAAGCACAGCCTTGCTTTTCATATCCATCTCGACAGTCTTACCTTCTGTTTGAAGTTTTGTACTTCTCTTGTTCTTTGGTACCTACATCACAGAATTACGAGAGATCATTAAATCAGATTAACAACAACAACTAGTACTACTAAATTGGACTATGATGAATAAGACTCACATGACAATGTAACCGCACTCTTTTCTTAGAACTCTCTGTTGGGCTATGATCTTCATAGTCTATTCTTCCTAGCTGCAAGCCTTTTCCATCAAGAAGAGGTTCAGCCATGTTCGCATCAAACTCCATGTTATTAGCGAAGTACTCATCTGCTTCAATTGGATTATTAGTATCCATCAGACCACGTTCTGTTGTTATTGAACTATCATTTCTCATCAAGATAGGCCGAGAATTACTTGAGTAGTGACTCTCATGACTCAGGGGAGGAAAGAAGAAACTACTATGTTCTCTTCCTCCTGAAGATCCAATATTTGATTCATGACCAATATTCCAATAACCAGAATTACTTGGTAACTCATTTGGAAACGAACAGTTACCAAGTAACTGTGCCATGAAATCCGCCTCCTCAGTAAAACACATTCCACTAAACGAACTCCAATCTCCTTCAGACATTGATACCACATGCTCCATTCTCTTATCTGCTTCTTTCTTTCTTTATTATAATAGACAAACTCAACCGTTGGAAATAGTGAGAGATAGAACCGCGTATTTATAGCAATAACAGAAGGGATTGACTTTGGTAGGTACATCAATATTCTATGACTTAGCAACCAATAAACAGAATATGCCCCTGATTGATTTAAATATAAATAGATTATGTCTAAAATGGGGCAAATTACAACTAAGATAGACTTAGTTCAACCAGATAGGGACCAAATCGACGGAATATAAACATTTATAATTAGGTAAGTGTGAGAATGACAAGAGTATATATAGCAATGATTGAGAAAAGGATTAAGTATTATGAGTAACTATCAGTTGTCCAAATTTTATAATTAGGAAAATGGGGAAACAAGATTGAGAATCATACCTGGAGAACGTGGGAGTCTTTTTCAATATAATACAAAATGAAACCACAAATGGCATCACTTGAGAATATGCAGATCGATTGAGGTGCTGAGTTTGACATTTTTAGAAGGAAAAATATTGAAATATATCTTTCAAAAATAGGCATAATGCATAAATATACCCATTAACTTGGTCTCATTTCATGTTTATGCGCTTCAACTTTGGATATACACAAATAGACATTTAAACTTGTATAAAATTGAACAAATAAACACATGAGTCCCGTGTGACACAATATACGTAGGGCACCATGTTGGACAAAAAACGACATGTAGGATGTCATGTATGGCATGTGAGTCTATTTGTTCAATTTTATACAAGTTTAAATGTCCACTTGTGCACACCCAAAATTAAAGGGCGTAAATGTGATTTGAAATCAAGTTAAAGGGAATATATATGTATTATGCCTTCCAAGAACTCTGAGACCGATATTTGTAGTAGTCAAGGTACCTGGAAGCTAATCTCTTACACTAGCATCATTAAAAAGAAAAAAAGACAATTGTTTAGTATCCTCAGTTGCCCCAGATAGGGTCGTATGGACCTATCTAAGTTACGCTAGAAATTTGAAACTTTTAATTATTTTGTTTTATTTTCCTTTCTAAAATTGGATAACACCTCTCTAAGTGGTTTTGATAGAAAAAAAATGATTTTGGACCTATAATTTTAAAATTCTAATGGTTTTCAGTGATAAGAACCTAAATGTTAAACTGATCGAATTTATATTGTGGATTCTCCTTTCGTAATAGTAAATTCATCATCTCGAAATCCTGAATACGATTCCGGCCCCAGAAATTAGACTTGCCCATCACCAAATATATCAAATAGGCGGTTACCATTTTGTGCAAACTCTGAGACTAAGCCATCACAGCTTGTTAGTAGTCGTAATTCACAACAAGGGCATGTCTGGAAATCATGTGTAGGGATGGCCATGTGCGGGGGTGGATGCAGAGCGTGGTGGCTTTAAGATTATATGGGTTGGGGCGGCGTTAAGACTGTGCAAGCTGGAGGGATGTGGGGTGGGTTGAAGTGAATTTTTTAAAATTAATGCGGGACAAACGGTTTAGGGGTATATTGATTTTATGCGGGATCAAACTCAATTTTAACTTTTTAAATGTTATAACAATGGATAGTAAATTTTATTAAAACTACTAAAATAATCAAGATAGCAAATAAAAATGGCTCCGTAAAAATAGTACAACTTCTTACATGTTTTCCCAATTGACCTCTAAAATATAAAATTTTAAGACGTTATTTATTAAATCAATACAACTTAATGAAAAAAGTAAATATTTAAAAATTATGCAGAGATCGGGAGATGGGGTGGGGGTTTGCTATCCCTAATCAAGTTTAATTACACCTTAATTTCTAGTTTATAGCACAACCAGAATTACATAATTTGTTTCTTTTATTTGTTTTATAAAATCCAATACAAAAATAAAATAAATACTTTTAGATGAATATGTAAATAAGTTTTAATGTGTGGTCAATTTTTGCTTATCTTTGAAAATTGAATAGTATAATTATTCCTTGTTATATACATCAATTTTATATTGATTAAATTGCTTATCAAACAAACACATAAAAGCTAGGAAACTTTCACATATAGTCACTTAAAAATAGCCTAATTACTCTCCATAACTATAGTTTGATGATTACAATTTGTAGCTACATATTATAGGGAGGAGAGAGGCGAGCGAGACTGGGAAAGAGAGGAGAAAGGCGAGAGAGGGGGAAAAGAGTGGGAGACAGGCGAATTATATGTATATAGGTTAGATAATTGTATATCATACATATATATTTGTATATATGACAATTGGCAAGAGAGATTGAGAGAAGGAGGAGAGAGACGAAAGAGCTCGAAAGAGGAAGGAGAGAGGTGAGCGAGATTGGGAGAGGGAGGAGAGAGGAGAGTGGGAGAGGACAGAGAGTGGGAGAGTGGTGACTTGTATATGTATATTGATTAGATAATTATATATTATGCATATGTATTTGTATATTCTGGCGAATTACATATACAAGCATGACTAATTATACAAATTCGAAGTCAACCCACGTAATAAATATATAATGTTAGTTGCGAGTGGTAATTTATTGAAAACTATAACTATGATGAGTAATTTAGTATAAGTTTACTTAACCACGTAATTTTCTCATAAAAATATCATTAATAAATGTATAAAGTCCATCCTAAGTTAGTATGTATTTCATAAAACTACACTTGCATTTTGCTTGAGTCTTATAATCCCTTTAACAACTTGAAAGTAATATTATTAGGAAAAATGACAGATTTCACACCTTTTAATTCTCTTATTATCATTATCCCATATTAGTTTTATAAATTTTCAAAATTCTTCATTTTCACGCATCAGATTAATGTATCTCGCGCATCAGATTAATGTATCATGTATAAAATGTACATCATATTACTGTATTATTTATAAAATGTAATGTATCTTACTTAACGATTAATGTATCTCGTGCATCAAATTAATGTATCAGCGCTTATATTATTGTATTAGTTTGAGGGATTTATGTAATTGTAAACTTATAAGGGACAAATGTTAATTTTATCTTAAAAATATGTGATTTCTGTCCTTTACCCTTATTATTATCTTTTTCTTTTATCAAGCTCAGTTATTAAAAAAATACAATTTTTACTTACCAATCTTGAATTCTCACATATTAAATATCATAAATTGTAAAAACAAATTTCATAAGTACATAAAAAATCCTTCCTACCTCCTCCCCAAACTCTTCTGCATTCCCACTTACTTTTTGCATTTCCCTAACCTTTGTTCACCAAAAATAAATAAATAAGAAATGTAAATTAAGAACCAATTCACTATTTTGTGTTATTTATCATTGTAATATTAGAAAAATAATAATCATTTATCCTATTATTCGATCCTTGAAATTATATAAATATATCTATGGATAGTATTTTATGATATAGTGATTGAAATAACAATGATTAATCGCAATTGCTGATGGTAATAACTTATAATTAGTGGTCAATAAATAGGTGGTGAATGATGATGATTGTTAGCGATATATAATGTTTACTAATGATAGTAATTATTGACGGTGGTTAGTAGGATGTAGTAATGTGTTATGGTAATTATTGTAATTGATGGCTAATATTGATAATGATTGATTTCGGGGATTAGCAGTAGTTGTGAACAGGGGCGGACCTACTTGATTGCATATGAACCCAATTTATCGAAAAAATACATTGTATATATGTATATATATATATATTCAATCTATTTTTTTGAAACAAAACCTATATATATTTAATTTGACACCACTTAAATCAATAGAAACACATAGCCTAGCAGTATAGTGGGTACAATTTGATTGATATATCCAGGGTTTGATTTTCACCTGCAACATTCAATATTGCTTCATTTATTTTTATATGCTGAGCCAACTTGGTAAAATTTCTAGGTCCGCTACTGGTTATGATTGTAGTTGAGATAAGGATGGACGTGATTGTTGATGAAAGGCACTGATGATTGTAACACCTCGTATCCAAAACAGACCAAAAATCAACTTTTCCAAAATTACAAGTGCAATCTACGGTCACCATCTACGGATCATAGTCTGATCTACGAACCATACTATAGGTCCATGGTTCACCATTGTATCCCCTCCCAAAACTCATCTAAAAAAATTGACTAAGTCTCGACCCATAGACACACCTACGGTCTGTAAGTCAGACCACAGTGTGTGGTCTGTGTTCGTGGATTGATACATCTCTTACCTAACCTCTGACATGAACTATGGATGACCATCACAGATCGTCGTTCGATCTAAGGTCTGTAGGTCTAACCATAGGTAATGGTAGCAATTAGTTAGGGGGAATTGCTGATAGGGTCAACTTCAAATGAACACAAAAGGAATTAGGTGTCCTATGACCTATGATATGATAGTTAATTGAATCCTCTTTCCAAAGCCGCCAAGTTTGCTAAAATTCAACCTCCGAGTAAAAAGTTATGTCCTTTTAAGTGAAGGCCTGTCGAGAAGACTCAAACAGCACCCAAACGACGAATCGTCCATTGGACTCGGCCCGTCAGTCCAATCCGTCCATTGCTCCAACAACAACTAATTTAGGGGTCTTTTGGTCTTTTCCTATTTTTTTAAACCCTAAGATACGCCGTTCAAACCCTAAATCATGAGATTTTAGTCAGTTTGAGTCTAGAAACATAATTAGAACTTACCTAAGTCAAATCATTAATAGAAAACATAGAAAATTAGAAGTAAGAGAGGAGAAAAAGGTCAAGAACCCTTGTTCAAGAATGCAACAAGGTTCCATCAGTTCCAGCCCCAAAATCTAAAGATTTCTTTGTGGAATTCATTACGAGGTATGTGATTTTTCACTAGTGAGTTCCTTTTCACCCATTAGATCCCTAGTTTTCAGTTAGTTTCTTGATTCCGATATCATGACTAGACTTAGGGTTTATTGAATGTCAGAATTATTGGATTCTTAGCTATTAGAATGATCCAAATCATATTAGTATGTTAATAATAAGTTAATTGCATGAATTTTCAGGACCCTAGCTATGTATTTCTTTATTTCTTGAACTACACATGCTAGGTCAGATATTTCAGTTACTTCAGATATACATGTCTCAGTTATTAATGCGTCATTATTAGATTAATTGTTGCATTCTCAATTTG